GCTCGGCCGGTTTTTTTCGCGGCGCCAGTCGCCCGCGGAAGCTGCGTCCACGCGGGGCTGCGGTTCCTTCCCCAGGGCGCTGGAGTTGGGTCTAAGTATCGCAGGGCGCGGGAACGAGCTTTTTTTACGTTGGCGTTGGTCGTTCCACGTGCTGACTTACGATGTAGAGCGTTTAGTGTGTATGGTTGTGTGTTGAATTATACCTTGACTTCTGAAGTTCAGGTCTTCTTCCGATACATTTAAATGTGTCTATAGAAAAGAAATTCGTATATTTTAACCACATACCGCCTTGTACTGTATTCTGCCTCATAATGTTATGCATTAAGTATATGTCTTTCATTATTGGAAAATGTGGAGAAGTCTTGAGCGTGTAATTTGCATTTGAAGAAGGGTGTGGTTCCTCATAAGGAAGTGAAACGTGCTAAAACGTAACGGTTGATAAATATGTGCAATGTTCGTTGAGTCAGAAGTAGAAAATTGGATAGGGTGTTCTCCATTGAGAGTTAGCTCTCGTTGTGGCTTGTAAGCGCCATGGCGGAGCCTCTAACGCCGCTGTGCTGTGCTTCCGTGTCGCAGAATGGACTGAACGCGCTGCACTTGGCGTCCAAAGATGGACACATCGCGGTCGTCACGGAGCTCCTGCGCCGCGGCGCCTCCGTCGATGCTGCCACCAAGAAAGGCAACACAGCACTGCACATCGCCTCTCTCGGTAAGTTCGGCACCGCTCGTTTTCATACTCGTGCCATACGATAGCCGCATTCGGCTACTCTACTTACGTAGCATTAAGGAAATGAAAGAGAGTTATTGAAATAAAAAGATAGGGCGTGACATTTTACTTCTTGTTAAAGTATTTAATAATTTATTTATTGTAAAAAACTGTTTCAGTAAACACAATGCTCGTTTCCTACATAATGTTGTTCTTTCTGTGGAGTGTGATACTCATGTTCAATTACTAGCTGTTTAAGCGGAAACTACTTTGGTATACATTTATTTTTGAATTGTATAAAAACACATTAAAATAAGTATGGGGATATTAATTGATAATATTCAAATATTATCAAATGAAAACAAATTGTTTTACAAACCCAAATTTGTGCAGATTATTTCAACTGAAAGATTTGGGAGTATTATAAATCAGGTTCACACAAGTACATATCATCGTAAATTTATTTTAAATCAGTGAAAATATAATTATGAATGTTTATAACTCCTAATATGAGAAATAATATATTTCTTAAGCATGCTTCATAGCGTTCTTGGACGTAGCTAAAGGCTTGAAATACTGATTGAATACTCGAATACCTTTCCTGGCCATGCTTGAATTGATAACGATCTTAGAGAGGACCTTGATGTAGATATAATAATTTCCTGGCCATGCGTACATTCAGAACGATCTTGAGCACTGCTGTTAGCGCCCACTTTGCCAGAGCTGTGGCACGAGCCCTCGAGTGCTGGCGGGCGTTGGAGAAAGTGGCTCCCGGCGCCGCTGGCACCTGGCGCGCTCGCCTCCTCGCCTGCGCAGCCGGGCCTCGGAGGGGCACTAAACAGCCCGGGCCCTCCCGCGCCCTCCCGCGCTTTCCACGCCCGCCCTCCTCTCCCTCGCCCCGGCCAGCCGCAGGGCGCGTGTACACAACGGCAGGTAGCAGCGCGCTGGGGCACTCGCCCGTAAATGTTGACGTCTGGGCCTCTCTGAACGCGCGAGGGGTTTGTCCTCGCAAAAGCACTCCCGGCAGCGTGTTAAGGCACGTGGCGGAAGAAGAATCTGCGGAGAAATCTAATTATGCGAGATAATTGTTGTTTATCTAGCATTTAATTTAGATACTTTCAACCATTACGTATACTGGAAATTTCTCGCTAAAAAAGGTATAATGAAATTTTACAAAAAATACTCAATAGATGTAAATCGACTTGATATTACGAAATTGATTATGAACATGCTATAAAAGTTTTACCATGTCCTTGAATGATCTTAAATTTTGACAAAAATGTTTCTCCATAACTTATTTTAATAAAAGTAATTACAACTATCATTTATTTTCATAAACACATTTTAATATATTATTAAGCATTTTAATTACTTTTCTGGTCTGAAGGTCGGATTTCATAAAAAAATATTTCATTTCTTCTTTTATCTGCCATGCGAAATGAACCTTTCAAGTCAGAAACTAACAAAGTCACTGTAACCTTTGATGAATTTCAAGTTCATTTGCACACACTTTTCACTTTAACTGAAAACTAATTCACTTTTTTGGATGCAAATATAATTAGACTGTATATCAGAAATGTGTAAATGTATGTCAAATATGCATCTAGACATAAAGCCTCTTTATCCGTATATCAGTGACGTGGCTTGAGGCGTGGCTAACCCAGCAGGAACTTGAATTAGCGTGCGCATTAGGGGGCGGAGCGCCCTCTGCGAGCAGCGCCCCAAGCGGAGTGCTTCGTCACCTGCGCTTTCGCAGCCCCGCACCTGGCCCCGCGTGGGCCTCCGGGGACAACAGATCCTCCACCCTGCCGTATCCTCGCATCTCCCCTCCGGCACCGGACGTGTGTCACGCGTCGCGGGTCGAGTGCTGAGCTGGCGCCCTCTCCCCTCTTCCCTCGTCTGGTGTTCAGACCCCCACCCCCGGCAAAGGCTTGCGTCGGTTCTTGCTCTGTGCTCGCGTCGACACCGCCCCCCCCGCCTTGCCACGTCTTTGATTTCGCTTCAGCCTCTTTCGGCTTTCCCAACCACCCTCGCCGAGGTCCTTACCTTCTGCTCCTCTCCGCACCTCTGCCCCAGCCTTGCTTCCTCTCCTACTGTGCCCCGTTCCACCATGTCTATCTTATCCCTCACCTCCATCGGCCACCCACGTCTTGCCTCTGCTTCTCCCTCTTTCACCCTTCGTAACCCTACCACTCTAAGCATTTCACTCTCCTCTCTGTTGCAATCTCACCCTCGTTCATGCATCATGCACCTTCTCACTTCTTTCATCTTGCATCTCACTCTCCATCCCCTTCTCTGCTCCCTCTACCCTCTACTTTCCAATCACCACCCACGTGCTGCTTCTACCCCTGCTCGCATTTCACGCCCTATTACCTTCTTCGCAATCCCTCTACTCTCCACATTTCATCTACCCCCCACTCTATCACCTCGCCCTCTCACCTTCTTACCACGCGCCCTCTCACTCCACCCCCGCTCACTATCCTCTCACCTTCTGATCTCCTCGCCACCCTCTACCCTCCCACTCTACAACCTTGCATCCGTTCCCTCTACCCTCGACCGACACCCCCTTCCTTTGCCCGAAGCGAGCGTGAAAGCCGTTCAGGTGGGACAGCCGCCCGTCCACGTGTACAGGGGATTAGCGTGCATTGTGGCCGCCGGCACGGGCCGGCGAAGTGGCTTATTCACGGTCCCTCCGCATGCGGCGACGTCCTCCACCTGGAAGCGCTGCCAGAGAGGCTTTCGCGCGTGAAATTGGGGCTGTTCGGTGCGTGTTACGGCACGGATGAAATAGAGAGCCTCTTGCGTGTAAGGGTTACGTGATGGGTAAACTTTTTACTGGAAGGGCATTCTTGCCCGCTTTCAATCCTGTAATTCGAGGCATAATGCAACCTTAAAGACGGTCATTCCTTTCTACATGCAAGACGTCGCCTTAGAGCATCGTCAAATACGATACGTTATGCTCGTTTTATCTTTTTGGGGGCGACGGTTTAGTATCTTTTCCAAAATGTACTCTCTAATTCCTGCCTCATAACTGCGTGCTTTTGTTTGCAGGTTTGTTAAAGAACATTTCATTATGAGGAAAGTTTAACTCGTAAAAGCTCATGAAAAACATGTACAAAGTGAAAATTTTAAATACTCCAGTTAGCTTCATGGTATGCGACGTTGTGTCCACAAATTGTGAGACACATGTTCGTTTAGAAATTTTTTTTTGAGAATAACATACTATTATAACTCTCGTGGTGCGTTTTTGAAGGGAGAAGAAAGGACGTGAATACACAGTTTTTAAAATAACTAACTCACGATAATGAAATTTTATTTCAATTATTTCATGTCTTGCCTGAAAAAATATACAATTTTCTTTGCGATTATATATATTTATATAATACAAAAGGCAATACCAATGTAATATCAAATACATAAGACAAACTGTTTTATCATTTTGTTAATTCCATACCGAAATTTAAAACACAGAAACGAAATCGTAGTTGTTAATTAAAAGACACACTCTTAAATTAAAGCTTTGTATTTAGAGTTGAATAGCGATGTAATGAGCAGAGTCTGTAACAAAACACTTGTCGCAAAATAGATTAATTGTTTTGCAGAATAGAACGGACCAGAATGAGGAATAAAACGCACACACTCAGGTTTAAACTATATTGATTCTTTTTCCTCACACAGGGTATAACGTAACGTATTATTATTCGTACCAAATGTGTTTCCATCTCACTCAGTATAACAAGTTTTGTGCTAAACAACACAACAATTATGTAGTGCCGTATTTTCTGCTAGAAGTATTCCATTTTTTACGTTATATCGTTGTCCCATTTCATTCCAACGTAATTGAATTTATTTCAACCATTGGCCACTTCTCACATTCTCTTTCTCCCTTTCTCTCTCTCTCTCTCTCTCACACACACTCACTCTCTCTGCCTCCCTCTGTCTCTCTCTGCCTCCCTCTGTCTCTCTCTGCCTCCCTCCCTCCCTCTCTCTCTCTCTCTCTCTGCCTCCCTCTCTCTCTCTCGCTCTCGGTCTCTCTGTCTCTCGTTCTCCAAACTGAGCGGCGCGCAAATGGAGCGTGAAAGAGCCTCGCTAACTCCCCCCTTCGCACGTGCTTGCAGCGGGCCAGGAGGAGGTGGTGAAGCTGCTGGTTGCCAGTGGGGCAGCCGTCAACGTGCAGTCCCAAAATGGATTCACTCCGCTGTACATGGCAGCACAAGAAAACCATGACAACGTCGTACGTTTCCTGCTGGCCAACGGTGCCAACCAGAGCCTCGCCACAGAGGTAAGTTTCATTGGCGTTATTACGGGGCGGTCGTTGAAGGCCAATTCAATCTTAAACGTGAGGTAAATTTTGAAACGACGTTGTGGAGGTAGAAAACTAACAACGAGTTCCGCATTTTTCACTCGTCATTTCATGAAATAAAATGCTGCAACCGGTCCCATTCAACATTTCAAAAGACTATCTCTTTTGAAAGTCGTGGTGAAAACGTAGAATCTTATGTCACCGGGTAATTTCATCGCAGTAATGAAGTGTGTTGCTTTCTCTGAATTGCTAGCATTTTTCTTTTGCTTTCCCATTGACATTAGATACATTCTACCGTTTCCTGGCTTGTGGGTCAGGCTTTGTTTCCATGCCATACTCTTGTGTTGCAACCAATTGAATTGGTTTAAATTATAGTACTTGGTGAGACATTTCGTTCAAATGAATAAACGCTGTACAAAAAAGCAAAGAAATAGCTCTAAAATTCAGGTTTATTTTGCAATTTTAACAAAAATATCCCTTGTTTGTACTGAACTATTTATTAAGTTAGATATTTTTATCTGGTTTGTAGATGTTTACTTGATTGGATCCGTCAATGAGAAAAAAAAGCGTATTTCCAGGGGAAGGGGACAATGATTTTGTGTGCATATTTTATGTCCGGATCTGTCATGTGTGTACACATTACGTTGATTGAAACATGCATGGAAGTCTAGAGACAAAAGATATGAATTATGGAAAGGATGAAGGGGAAGCGAGAGGCGAGTAATAGAATGAATTTGCGCCAATGTAGGGTTGCATTTCTCTTGGGAACTGGGTTTGTTTTATGCATACAAGTTTGGGTGATGTTTGTGTAGGAGAAGTGACTTATCTAAACATGATCGTATTAGAATTTCAACTCTAACATTTCAGTCTGATTCCGAAGATATTGAGTTAATACATAGATAATACATACGAATACGTATATTCGAAATGAATATTAATAATTGTCTTGGTTAGTGGATTATTGACCACTTAATATTTATTTGATTGATTAATAAGATGGTTAATTTGTTAGTGCGATATAAGCAAAAATTGGAGATTGGAGTTCAATAGCAAAATCTTTAGTGTGTTTTAGTTATATTTTATCATTAAATATAAATACTACACTCTATTTTTTGAAACACATTATACCACTTAATCATAATGTTGGTCCCGTACAAACACTCCACACTTGTAAATCATTGCTTTAAAAGAGAAAATAGATTTATACTGGTAATATAATGTGAACCTGAAATCTGCTTTGAATCATAAACCTTCGGCACTGTGAATGGATAATCACTCACATGGGTAACAGCAAATTGTTTAGAATCCCAAAGACACAATTTACTTTTTCGTATATTCAGAGATTATGCTCGTATTAGTTCAGACACACTTTGAAGTGGAGTACTCAAAAAATGTAACGTCGTTTGCAATCTAAAGTGAAATAATAGATTACGTATCGATATATGTAGATTAAGTATTCATAGATTAAGGATATATAATAGATCAATTTTTTATAGATTTGTTTTAGTATTCCTTACTACTACTATTGTGATTATTATTGGAAGTTTTGTCCTATTTTTGCAGAAAAGATCTTCGTAGTATGTGTTTATGCCAGTCTCATGTTCCTTACGGCCCCTCTGGTGTTTCAAATAAACATACAAAGCGCCTCGTGGATCAGCGTGCTCCCCTTGTTCCGTAGCTTGCGGATTCCGTTCCCCAAATTTATAGTTCTCTGTCGCTTTTATTCTCACAAAATGGAAGAGGGCTTACATTCTCCCTAGAAGGGACAACCAGGAAGGGGCGACTAAGTTATTCGAGTCCTCTCCGTTGAACCATCGCATTTTAGGGTTCTATCTTCTCCTTCTTCTTTGTATTTAATGTTGCCCATATTTTCTTTCAAGTAAGGGGTATTTGGGAATGTTATTCGCATCCAGAAAATTATCAAAAGAATTGAAAGTACCCTTCAACCTCATGAGTGTATGGAATAAAGAAATTTCCAGTTTCTCTTCTTGTTAGAAAATGGATAGCATTATTACACATTGTGACTACACAAATTTGACAATTAACCTCATAATATTGACTACTATTCACGATTTAAAATTTTATCCAGTAATTACATTCTTTGGAATAAAATTATTTGTCCACGTTTGAGTTAACTCATGGTTATTTTATTCATAATACATTTTTGAAAATTCGACCCTTATTCTGTTAGGTCTACAATGGGTTTGTTCAAGATGGTGAAATAAATAACATTTATTTTCGATTTTATCGTGTCCCCGTGCCGAGAGAACGTATGTAAAAGATCCGCCCCCTAGTGCTTGCGTTCTCATGTCGCATGTTTTGTAGCTCTTGTGAAACGCGTGTGTGCGCAGGACGGGTTCACGCCGCTGGCAGTGGCCATGCAGCAGGGCCACGACAAGGTGGTGGCGGTGCTGCTGGAGAGCGACACGCGGGGCAAGGTGCGCCTGCCGGCGCTGCACATCGCCGCCAAGAAGGACGACTGCAAGGCGGCTGCGCTGCTGCTGCAGAACGACCACAACCCCGACGTCACCTCCAAGAGCGGCTTCACGCCCCTGCACATCGCCGCGCACTACGGCAACGAGAGCATCGCCACGCTGCTGCTCAACCGCGGCGCCGACGTCAACTACTCGGCCAAGGTCAGTCCCCTGCCCCCTCACGCCTCACCTCTTACCCATGGCGGGCAGCAAAATAGCATCCAGGGCTATGATTGTAATGCCTGAACGGAGTTGGAATGTACACAAAATACTATTTTGGTTTTAAGGCTTCAATTCTGGAAAATTTCAACTATTCGGAGAAGTTCAGTCCCTTGGTTGCCCTACCGACCCTCACGGGCGAAGAGTAACATAGTTCAGGAGAATAATTCGGGAAGATCGAATGCTTGGAGAAAGTTAGAATATACGCAAAATACCTTTGTTTCAAGGGTTCAACTCCTCACAACTTCAACTACTCGTCTGACCGCTCGCCCTTCGGATTGCGCCGGATATTCTTTTGCCAGTGCCATAGAATAAAATAGGTTCATGAGTATAATTTGGGAGGGGAGGTTGCCTAAGGCATCTTTGCTCCTACAACGGTTAATATCTTGTTTACGTCAAGTTTTCTTCCCCTTCCTTTCTAATGTGTAGAGCCCCGCATTATGATGATACTGGAGCTTGGGCGGCGTGGGGAACCGTCGTCTTTCTCCATTTGCCCCAACAAACAAAGAACCATTTCCAGGAGCGATAGTTTTAACTTTTTAGAATAATGATGTGGAGTTGCTTCGACTGCAGCATGGGATTCGAGGTCACCCTGCATTTATACTATACCCTTCGAGCTTGCATTAGCGGACTAGGAACAGTTTACAAGATCTTTCACAAATATATACTAAATCACATACTACATTTCACATGGGTCTCTGATTTCCTCAGTGATACATGTCTGCTGGGTAGATAGTAAGCCTGGAGCTGGCGCAGTCCTCCTAGGTTAGAATTAAATGTTTTCATCGAGTTCCGAAGTTTCTGAATACCAAACCAACAGTATACGAATACTTGTAGTGGTTGAGGATAAGAGCCAGTTATCTGTTGCCCCCCCAGGGATATAAAACCCTCCTCTTAAATACAAGCTGTTCTGTAGACTGCCAGAGGCATATTCTAGAATAGTTACGGACAGCAACGGTTCGCCCTTGCATTGACGTTCGTCACTCCACGTGCCCCTCAGCACAACATCACCCCGCTGCACGTGGCGGCCAAGTGGGGTAAGACCAACATGGTGTCCCTGCTGCTGGAGAAGGGCGCCAACATCGAGTCGAAGACGCGCGACGGCCTCACGCCGCTGCACTGCGCCGCGCGCTCGGGCCACGAGCAGGTGGTGGACATGATGCTGGAGCGCGGCGCGCCCATCAGCTCCAAGACCAAGGTGCGTGCTCCACCCTCCACTCACCACCCATCACTCACGCTCGCGCTGAGCACCAAACGCAGGGAAGTTTCCCGCGGTGAAAAAACACACTGTATTAAGTTATCGGTAACTCATTCTCTTTACGTTTTGAGTTCAGAAGCATAGGTTCCAATAGATTGTGTCTTTTGAAATTTTCCCACAATCAAAGTCTTCAAGCCCTTCGGAAGATAATTAACGTCATTTGCGATCCACAAGTGCACTACAATTCTGCCGGCCGGATGTCGGGCTAAGTTTCTGTCGGCTTATATATATCACGCGAGAATAGACGGTTTTAATAAAGGTTTTTGTAATTTGCACCCCAATTCCATCAATTCACAAATTTACACACAAGGCATATTATTCTACGACAATACGTTCTAAGTGTTTTAGATAGTCGTCTGATCATTAGTCGTCTTGGAATGTGAAGATAATCATATTGAAGGAACAAACCATAAAGAGGGCTGGCTTGGGTAGCCGAGGGCGCTAAGGCTGCAGGGCTGTACCTGCCTCGGCTCGAAGAGTCCCGGGTTCGAGTCCCTCCTCGGACATAGGTGTTTCTCCTAAAGTTTTCTCCCCATAGTTCCCCCTGCAGTTAAAAAAATCACTGTGGTCACTCTATGGCCAGGCTGTTGCAAAGCGACCTTTACAAATGCCGCAAAGCGTCCTTGAGCAGTGGGAGCGTGGAACGTGCACGTGGGCGTGTCGTGCGTCCGCAGAACGGGCTGGCGCCGCTGCACATGGCGTCGCAGGGCGACCACGTGGACGCCGCTCGCATCCTGCTGTACCACCGCGCGCCCGTGGACGAGGTGACAGTGGACTACCTGACGGCGCTGCACGTGGCGGCGCACTGCGGGCACGTGCGCGTGGCCAAGCTGCTGCTGGACCGCAAGGCGGACCCCAACGCGCGCGCGCTCAACGGCTTCACGCCGCTGCACATCGCGTGCAAGAAGAACCGCATCAAGGTGGTGGAGCTGCTGCTCAAGCACGGCGCCTCCATCGAGGCCACCACCGAGGTACTACCACCTCCGCCTCTTCTCCTCCTCCCCTCCCCCCCCCCCGCTTTTATCCGGCAAATGGCGATTTCCCTCCGTCTGCTGCTGCACTCTTCTATTCCTCTTCCGGCTTCTATTCTATTTCCTTATTCTTTTCATTTATTCTCCTTATTATTCTTCTCTTCTGTAACTTCTTCTTCTCATCCTTCTCGTACTCTCGTTTTTCAGTTTTTATCCTCCTCGTCCAGTTCCTTCCGTTCATATACGTTTACTTTTCCCTTCTTTCTTTTCCTTTCTTATATTCTTCTTTATTATCGATTCCTTTCCGTTCGTTAGTGTCTTCTTTTTTCGTTTTTATTTAATCCTTCCGTTCTTCATTCTTTTGTTCCCTTTTCAATTATTTTCCTTTATATTTTTTTACAGATTATTAACTCTTTTTCCTGTGCTCTCCCTTCTCCGTTATTTTCGTTCTTTGATATTCTCTTTTCGTCATCACACATGTTTCTTCTTTTCATTTTTGTTCCCTCTTCCTTTTCTCATATTCTCTTCCAATGTCGCAATGCGTGTTTCTTCCCGAAATAAAAATGTTTTCCTATTAAATATATTTTAACTTCCTTGATTGTTTCTTTCAATATTCAGTCGTATCAATTTCTATTTGCAATAAAAACAAGTAAAATAATCGAATTAGCTGAAATTCTGATCATTATAGAGCTTTCATACTTTTTGCACAGTAAACTCAGTAACAAGTAGGCTATTAAAGCAGTGCATCACTTTCGATATTGGATTTCTGGTCATGATTAAGTCAATTAATTACGAAACATTCATTTCCCAAAGGGGAAATGAAATCGTGCTAAAATAGTTTGCAAGATATTAAAGTAATCTCTATGAAAAGAAGCAATGTTGTAGTCCCAGCGGAAATAGAGAAATAGCGAACAAGTTATGGCGTGAATTTAGATTTCTAAAACTACAAAAACAGATCTGTATACAAGCATTAATATTTAAAACTTGCATTTAATTAGAAAGTGTAAGTTGTTGAATATACTCGTCTGTAAGTTTAGTATTTCTTTGTTATTGTTTCTTCTTCAAATTTTCTTTAAATGCAAAAGAAACAGCTACAATACGTTAATGTTTTCTTAGCTTAAGAGTGTAACAAGTGTATTTAAGGGGTAGTTGTGAAGCCATAACACGAATCAAAACGTCTTAGAAGATTTGGTACGAGTTGCCTTCGATAGAGTTGTCTATTGTCTCCGCCCCGTCTGTCGCTGACTGAGTGCGCGCGCGCGTGTGTGTGTGTGTGTGCGCAGTCCGGGCTGACGCCGCTGCACGTGGCGAGCTTCATGGGCTGCATGAACATCGTGATCTACCTGCTGCAACACGACGCGTCGCCCGACGTGCCCACGGTGCGGGGCGAGACGCCGCTGCACCTGGCGGCGCGCGCCAACCAGACGGACATCATCCGCATCCTGCTGCGCAACGGCGCCGAGGTGGACGCGCGCGCCAGGGTACGTGCGCATTTGCAGCCAAGGCGTCGGGAAGCAAGCGAAAGGAACAGCACTTCGCGCATATCCCTTTTCATTGTAATGAGTTCGCAATTTACGTTTCCTCTTGTTACAAGCTACAGCTCGTGCTACAAACATAATTTCTGTTGCTAGCACTTCCACTAGTAAGGTGTCCCCGCGCACTTTCCTGTATTTAAAACACTGTGGGTTTTCCTTTAGTATGAAATTTGAGATTTCTACTCTCACAAATTTTGTGATTGTCGGTCTGGATAGCCGAGGTCGTTAAAGCTGGAGGGCCGTAGCGTAAATAACAATTTTATGATAAAAGAATGAGCGACGGCAACGTGAAGCAAAATTAATTAGATCATTAGTGGACTGAGAGGTTAAAGGTGTTCTCGTACGGTAGGATAATATTTGCTTGGACCGAAATGGATTACACAACAAGCTCTGAACCTCCAGGTAGCGAACATTTGTAATTACGTCTTCCAGATCGGGTTTCACTTTAATAGAGATTCATCGCAGACTATCCACTTCATAACTTCCCAGTGAATGTTTTATTAAACCACTGAAAATGTTCATTATTTACACAGAATACGAATCATATTTAAAGGCAACACTCTCATTCTAATAGTGAATTTATGTGAAGTAGTGTTTGATGAAAACAAAAATTGCTCCTCAGATTGCAGACAAAAATTGCAGTCTCAGATTGTTCTGTGGATTTCAAACGGAATCGAAGTGAGGATACTAAGGGGCAGCTTAATACACTCGGGTATAGCGGGTTGCATACCCGCGCGTGCACTGTTTTGCCCATCTTTCGTCGTCTAAGGAACATATCAAACTTTTAATACTTCATTGGTACATACATAATCGTACTAGTTAATTCTGATCAAACCTTACAAAATCACTACCAAAAACAATTAAAGGCGATTAAACACCCTAAATTTAGTCATGAAATGCATAAGTTGACAATGTGGCTGGTCACTTTACTATTTGTTCGCGAGCAGGAGTATCAGACGCACCTGCAAACTTCGTCGCGACTAGGAATGCATAATGATATTACATTTCTCAGGAAAAAGTTAAAAGGTTGGCTTTCTTGGGACCCTCACAAGCATAAGAGTTGATTCTTATACAACCAATAACCATAAGAAATTCCTACCTAAAAGAATCACTACTAAAGATGATAACCGTCCTAAATGTAGAGATAAAACGCCTAAGTTGGCAGCCATGGCCGTGACGTGTCGGTTTGCGTGCGCGCAGGAGCAACAGACGCCCCTGCACATCGCGTCGCGCCTGGGCAACGTGGACATCGTGATGCTGCTGCTGCAGCACGGCGCGCACGCCGACTCCACCACCAAGGACATGTACACGGCGCTGCACATCGCCGCCAAGGAGGGCCAGGAGGAGGTAAAGTACCTCATCGGCAGGCGCATCATGGACCACGTGGACACCACCTACCTCATGGAGCGATTCCGCCACAAACGCCAGGAAGTACGTTCATGTACGCCCGCCCGCCGCCCGTCCGACCCGCCTTCCGCCTCCTCGCTTGCATCGCCCCGCGCCGGCGCTCTTGGCAGTTCCACCCCACCCCCCACCCGCGGAAACGATCATGCTGGACGCGGCGAGCGAGATTCCGTTGCGTTCCAGACGCTGTTGAAGGCCTAGCGTAGACGTGTTTATCGTAAACTTCTTTTACAATGCCCGTAGCACGACAGATTTCCCTAACATGCGTCTCAATAGTCGCTAATTGAGTAATGATGCCATCTTTTATATGATTTTTTGGTGGAAATTTTAACCAATACAATCGATAACAACACGTTTACGTTACTTTATTATTTAAGTTCTTTGTAATTTTAATCTAAACGTTCTCAGACACTGATGATATTTTCTATGACTATTGCAATCGTCGGTCTTTAATAGGCCTACATGACCTACTACACGTAAGATTACACGTAAGTTTCACTTCGAACGAATCTCCTTGCTGACCGTAAGCTTCACTATTTCTCTTCGTCATCGACCGCGGCGTTCGATACTCGAAAAATCAACGAACTTCCAACGATACTTTCCTCAGGCAGTATTTTTTCACGGAATAAATATCTTTTTTTGTCTTCCGATTATTGTTCTTAGCAATCGTGTTGCTTTCTGTGTGATTTCATATCGGAATATCTTTTTCACTCGTTTTCATACGTTGTTTCTTGTTATGAAAGTCGGAGTGAGTCTTGCAATTTATAAGTAGTTTACTATGAGATTTATCTATTTATAGATACTTTTAAAAAAATGCAAGTTTTTCTTTGAATTAATAATGAAAACTTGTAGTATACTACTTTGCATTTGATTTTTAGTGTGCAAATGGTACTTTTACATAACATTTTTTCGCTCTATCGTACATTGGAGTCTTACACGTGTTGAAGTGTTTCAATCCTAACCTAGCGAAGTGAATAACGAATAGATCCAAAGTGTTTTTGTTTGATGCTTATAAATACGCCCTAGGAGATCTTCCCGAGAACAGAGAATTTCGCGAACTAAACTGCGCCGGGATCAATGATACGTGTGTAGAAGAATGTTAGACTGCGGGTCAGTCGCCCCCCCTCACTTCACGCGCTCCCCGTGGCCACTTCACGAACTGCCAAGACGATCGCGTCGGAGGTTGGGGATCTTTTCCCCTACTGGCGGCCCACCCGCTTCATGGCCCTTCCCCATCGCTCCGTCCTCGCAGTTGTTAAGGAACACACTTTAAAGCAAGTGGGAACTTCTGTGTCTGTTCTCTTCTGTTGGTTTCTGTTGTGGCGACGCTGTCCCGTCGGTCTCCGCTGTGCGGGACCAGGGCAACAAGCTTCCGCCCGGCGCGCTCTCTGTTACTGGGATGTTTTTTGGAAATAAATTTTTAATTCGATTACTCTTTTTTGTTTTCATTCTTTTATTTTATCGTGCTTCGTTTTCTCCGTCGCACCGTTGCGCTTTCTAATCTTACTTTTCTTTCTGTGTTTATTTTATATTTGTTCTTGTATGACGTCCCTTGCATTTCATGGGGTCCGATTTATTTCGGACGATCTCCGTGGGTCTTCACTACTACATTTTTCTGTCCTGCTTCCCGAGATGTACTGTCATTTTCCTCTTCAACTGTCTTTTCCCAGACCTTCGTTACACCTTTCTGAGTCTACGGGCTATAAAATCAGTGTAGACAATCTCATCTACTAAAATAAATTGTATTTGTTGCTCCATTCCCTTCTCAAGTGCCCTGAAACACGTTTTATGTGGCAAAATGTAAACGCCTTAACTGTCCATGTTAATTAAGAGCCTGAATCTGACCCTAACTACTCAACGGACGAACTTTCGAAATCGAAGTTCTATTCTGACGAATAGACGTATTTTGAATTATCCAAATGTCCAAATGTCTTCACAACCTGGAGAAAGAATAACCCTCAACACACCTCAAAACTAAAACAATGTCAAAATTTTGAAATCACAGTACAGTTATTGATATAAAACGTATTTCGTAAGACCCAAAAGTTTTAACATCGTATGTGAATGAATAGCAACGCACCTACCTCAAAAAACTAAGGCAAGTGCAAAAATTTCGAAATCAAACTTCTAGCGTATTCTGATGAATTTGCTAGATCTAAATGCCTCAGCAATTACCCTACGTAAATGAACAGCCGTCGCCCTAACTGAAGACTAAAGCAAAGTGCGGAAAAAAACGCGGCGTGCGGGGCGTTGGCCTCGCCCAGAGGGCGCACGGGGCGCGTGGAAAACGAGCACGAGTGCGCCGCCCGCGCCGCCTCTTCCTCCTCCTCCTCCACCGCCCACCGCGCCCCGCCGTCTAGCGCCGCCTCCGCGCGGTCGCCCACTCGCCCGCCCACGGGCGCCGCCCGCCGGCGCCGCCGACGCATTCGCCGCAGGTAAGCGCAGCGCGCGGCTCGCGGCAGGCACGCACTCCGAGCGGCTGGCTCGCGCTGGGGCGCCGCATCGTATGGACGCATTGTGCACATCCCCTCAAGCATCGTGGGGAAAGCAAACGCCACACAATGTTCTAGTCGCTTTTTTATTTTGCATTTCATTCTGAAGGTCAATTGAGGCCCATCATATTCTTTTTATTAGTTAATGTGACGAGTTATACAAACACACACAGAATAGTTCATTTTCATGTGAATAGACACTTAGAGATAACTATAGTTCCCTTCATTAAAAATACTTCAATCTTCCTTGTTTTCATTTTTCATAAAATAGTTAAAAACTCTGTTATTTTTTTAAAAAAAATAATTTCGAATTAATAACCATATCGTGTTTTTAGTTTTTTTAAATTTAGATGAGCTTAATTCCGTCGTTGGCATTTTCAAGGGAAATGTGCAATGAATTCATACGATTTCCTGAATGACGCCAGTGCAGCCAGCGCGTTCAGAGACGCTGTCTCGTGAGCTGCGAGCTCAGCGGCCCCGCGTTTCCCTCCGTCCAGCCGTCCACCGCCACCTTCGCATCTCGCTCAGCCTGCTGAGCTGTACAGTACCAGATGCGAAGAGCGAGACCTTGGGGAGGGCCCAGGATGCCCTGAGGTAGTTATGTAGTTGATCCAAGGAAACCCCAAGATCAAATGGATGCAGTTTTAATTGCTTTGGAGTTCTTTTAGAACAGTAAACCTGGGAGCTCAGGAATGATCCCTGGGGAACACCACAATTTCCGGGTGGGATTTTGCGAATGTTTTGGGGGTCATCAAAATGAAATGTTTGAGAGCTCCCCCGTTTGCCTCTCGGGTGTGCCAAGGGTGTCCCGGGGCCCCAGGGTGTGCTGCTAACCCCGCGGGCGGCGTCGCTGGGACGGGCGAGCCCGCCCGCCGCGTGCCACTAACCTGTCCGTCCGCGTGCTGTTTGCCAGCGCCGCTCCGCCCCGACCCTAAATCCTCCTAGGTAAAACCACTCGGTAGCATTAGAAAACGCAGCGAGGGAGGGGTTAATTTTCTTCACAGATAATCGTGAGTTCGCAACGAATTTAGAAAGTTCGGAACTTTACTATATACGTTTAAAATAAATATTTTCAATAACATTTTACAAAATTTCCCATAGCATCTAAACATTGTTATAACTATAAACATTTGTTTCCTTGACATCTTTTAGATTTCACATTACTCGGTTACATAAAAATGTATTCCCATTTATAGTAATAATGAATGCAATAAACCTTACGTTAGATATATTAAAGTTCAATTCTCTCATTTGTTTGAAACCCTTGTGTTTGAAGGCAACCCTGAAATGTTACCTGCTTATTCGTATTGCGAGTCTGTTTAGAAGTGGATTCGAGACAAAGCGCCGGATTTAACGCGAGACATTCCTTTTCTGCACTGCCCTCTCTTCTTCCTCCTTTCTTCCGAGAGAGCGGGGCGAGGCGGCCGTTTTGTGTTGCTTATTTTTCTCTTTGAGACGTGCGTGTGGTTGTGCATGAAGGAGCGTGAGCGCTCGCGTGTGCATGCGTGGGTGGAAGGGGCAGCGTGGTGACGGAGGGCTGTGCGCAGGTTGCTTCCGTTTTGCTGGAGAGCGGAGCTTCCCTCACGGCCACCACCAAGAAGGGCTTCACGCCGCTGCACCTGGCGGCCAAGTACGGCAACATGAAGGTGGCGAAGCTGCTGTTGCAGCGAGACGCCCCAGTCGATGCTCAAGCGAAGGTATCTGCAGCGCTCCAATAATGCATTGAACTATTATCACGGCTGGGATGTTTATAGAAGAATATCTACCTAAATATTTACGTGAATATATATGTGGTTTGATGTAAGAAGGGCCAATGTCAATATTCTAAGTTTCACAGAATGGGCGGCTCTCGTACACCATCGAAATGTCTACTCAATCGTAGGCCAATGTAAAGATCGATAGAGAAATCAGCTAAGATAGACTTTGGCTTTTCTTGCACAGAAAGACTCGCATTGGTCACACAAACTGAAAATCACTAAATGTCGACATTGACACTTACTGCACTAAGCCATAAATATAATTAATTGTAACATCAAACTTTGTATGTAACATCAAACACGTAACATCAAAATAAATGTAAATAGAGAGTAAAACGTATTTCGAAAATATATACATGCATTTAAGTTCAATGAATAATAATTAATACAAAAATCACGCAAATTAATTACAAAGAATTAGACATCAAAAGTTCCAATTACAATCTACTAAATATGGTGAATACAAACAATATTTTTATAATTTTGTAGAAACATATTAGTATATTGTAAGGTATTACTAGTTAAATAATTATCTTAAGATATATTTAGTGTTTTGCGAAATTCATTAATTTTGGTAACAATTTGTTCTTAAAAGTGTAGGATTGAAATGAGTTCTGTGGTACAATGTAATTAATCGCTGGTGTGTTTGTGTTGCAGAATGCAGTGACTCCTCTCCATGTGGCTAGTCACTATGATCACCAGAACGTGGCGCTCTTGCTGCTGGACAAGGGCGCATCACCACATGCAATTGCCAAGAATGGTCATACACCACTCCACATCGCTGCGCGAAAGAACCAGGTATGATAGACCAGGCCAGCTGAGAGTCCGAGTCTCTTGACAGCGTTAGTTACTTAATGCCACAAATGCCAATTGTTAATCACAGATCTCAGTATTATTTCACTTCCATCTCTATTCAGTTTTTCTTCGGTTACAAGTAAATACTGTTGAAGCTTCGTGCATTACCAGATAAAAATCTGTGTATGATACTTGATTTATAAAACGGTTTAAACAGCATCTTATTTACGATATCTATATTATTAACATTACTTGTAAAAGCATTACTACTAGAACGAGAATTATGGAAGTATCGGTGGCGTTTCAGTTCCTTTTTAATTGAATGTTGATTACCAATTGTTACCAGGTTTTAATGTTACGTAAGACTTGTGTCGCTGGGTTTATAGGAATATTAATACGTGTTGTCTAGGTATATTTGATTATGCGGTTGGAAATATCTTTGGGAATTACATTTAAGGTACCCCGACAGTACTTGTTTATTAATTTATTAATTCGAAGGCATCACCGTCGCCTATAACATATTAATGAGTAAGCCAATTGTTTCTATAAACCGATTCCTAAATTTTCAAAAGTTATTTCTTCAGAGTAGGGATTATATACGTAGATGGTAAAATAATACACAACATTTCATCATCAGTGAATAACTATTTCACACGAAACGTAAGTTTGTCGTAAGACAGATGTTAAACGGTAAGAGTTACGTATGCACATAAATATACGTGTATCAATATGTATCAACAGTTTTATTGTTATTTTTGTACGACAGTATTTCTGTGGAATGGGCAAGATGTATGTGGTTTTGAAACTAAAAATATTACTCTCTTAAATTTTCTTACCGGGCATTCTTGTCTCGTCGACAGAATGTTGTTTTATTAATCAGGCATTCTCAAAATGTGCTGTACCTAAACTGGGGATTATCCATATTTTTTTTCCTATTCGAGGTAATCTCTATCCCAATTTCCTCAGATAAGCGCAATTGTATAGAGAGGCTCAGAATAAATGTTATAAAGTTCAAGAACATGCGAAACAGATAACTTTTTGCCAATGAGCATATTATGGCATATTTCATATAAAGCTAAAATTTCGTATAACGAACGTAACGAGTTAAACATGTGATATTTGACTGTAAATGTTAGGCTCCCTCTACACGCACGATGTTCAGCAGGTACATAAAAGCTCCATGACGGTTTTAGTGACATGTAAAACACCTGCGCATAAATTGTTGCTAATAAACAGGGACAAATCTCAATGTGTTCTCCATTAAAATGTCTCACTGCATGTTCATTGGCGTGTGCGTGGGCGCGTGTGCAGATGGACATCGCGACGACGCTGTTGGAGTACGGCGCCAAGGCGAACGCCGAGTCCAAAGCCGGCTTCACGCCGCTGCACCTGAGCGCGCAGGAGGGCCACACGGACATGTCGACGCTGCTGCTGGAGCACCAGGCGGACGCCAACCACCGCGCCAAGAACGGGCTGAGCCCGCTGCACCTGTGCGCGCAGGAGGACCGCGTCAACGTGGCCGGCGTGCTCATGAAGAACGGCGCCGAGGTGGACGCCACCACCAAGGTACGCTTTCACTCTCTCGAGCGCAAACATTCATTAACTCGCCCTCTCACACACACAGACACTCATGCACTCTCGTATCCACTCAACTCCTGTCCATTCTCCTTTCACTCCATCAAACATTTTATTCATTTTCTGCTCATAATCTTCTCACGTAACAGACCATGCACTTTCGTACATATTTACCGGTAATAAACTTCACATTCATCCTTTCTCTCTCTCTCCTCTCTCTTCTCTTCTCTCTGGTCTCTCATCTCTCTCTCTCAATCTCATACCTCTTCACACACACCACCACACACACACACACACACACACACATAATATATTATATATATATATATATATTATATATATATATATACATGTATTCATTTGTTCCTCTCTCCATACACACATATAATTATGCGTTCCTTACTCACAAAAAGGTAACACCTCTTCCCACCTGCTTGTCCCTCTTCAACACACTCTCACAAGCGTAACGTTCAGTATACCTCTCTCTTATATAGCCCTACATTCACATGGGTACTGTGCAAAGTAGGAAGGATCTTTAAGTACTTTGAATGGAGTTTCTTTTTGTTAAATTCTTGCTTGCTCAAACTTGAACAGAAACTCTATAAAAAAATGATGTACTCTACAGTACTCAAATGATACGTGTCATGGCGCCAATCACAAGGGGCGCTATTTAGAATATACACTGAATGATACAGTTAACCATTCAAATTATATAGTTGTTTCAATGATATCATGAATCATTTCAATATCACTTCTTAATGATACTCGTATTCCCATGGTCATTGTAAGACTGAGTAATCATAGCAATATTGGATAAAGTTTTTCTTCTAGCTTGTACTCACAAATAGGATAACTGCAGGATTAAATGATCCACCTGAGAGCATAATTTTATTCCATGGATATTGCACACTACATAGTTCGGGCACTAGGTGCGCCCTGTCCACTTGCGTTGAAAGCCATGTGTGTTCGTGCGTGCGGTTGCAGGCCGGCTACACGCCGCTGCACGTGGCGAGCCACTTCGGCCAGATGAACATGGTGCGCACGCTGCTGCACAACGGCGCGTCGCCCACCGCCGCCACCGCCATCGGGTACACGCCGCTGCACCAGGCGGCGCAGCAGGGCCACACGGCCGTCACCGGCGCCCTGCTCGAGAGCGGCGCCGACCCCAACGCCCTCACCAGCGTGAGTGCGCCCCCCTCCCCCACCCACACACACGGGGGATTCAGGATCTCCCCTCCCCCCAAATCGCAATACGGAGATTTTCAAATTATAAGAAAAAAATTGTTATTTGCACCATTCACAGAAGAAAGGAGTTGATACTAAACTGAAATTTAGGACCTCCCCCTAAGTATACAATAACATCATTTTTTTTAATTCTGAAAAAAGAGAATTTTGTTTACAATTTTTACTCCGCTCTTTCAAGTATTTTTTAAATCATACGCAAGAATTGTCTACATGGCTGCGACTACTGACATCATAATCACATTTTTTTAAATTCTAATGTTACGCTATCTTTTACTACGTATTTTCGAATATTTTATTTAAAATACAATTTTACAACAAAAATTGTATTCAGTAGCAGGCGATACTGACACGGCGTATACAATTATGACAGTTTTTAAAATGATATTTTTGTATTTTTTGTATTAAACTCAATAATTATCATATTGTGACGTATTGCACAGTGAATCATGACCTTTTTAAAATGATCATTACCTTGTATCAACTTTAGAAGAAAATAATTATGAAGAAAACATGTTTTAATATCCCTTTTCATGCAACAGGTAACATTCATTATTGCAGAAGACGTAAGAGTATCCCTTTGACAATTAAATAGATCAATGAAAATTTCTCTTTTTTTAGAAGTAATATTTGTCTCCTCAAGGGGCAAAATTTTCGTTTAGTGAACATGGTTAAAACGAAATTGAATCAGAGAGTTCTTCTACACAAGACATAAAAGTTTGTATAAAATCTGAAAAATTGTACTTCAAATAAACTCTTGCATTATCACGTTTGCTCTCCGGTTTGCTGTCATGTAGTGCAATGTTTATTGAATTTATATTATTCACATCTTTGTCTTAGTCAGAGCTACCTTTAATTCGCCAATGAATTGTACTAAAGATTAATCCGAATTTATTGGCACTCAAGTGTTTATGCAATATAGTAACAAGAGTATGAGTTGCATATTATGAATCGAGCAAGATATTTGTACAGATTACGATTGGTATTTATAATATCCCAAAGAATGTGTGGCATACCCATTCGTTTTTGACGGAAAGAAGTTCTCTGAATGATAGTTGTAATGTTCAAATAAACTTTGAGATCATTTCGTAAGATGAGATTGCCGCATAAGTAGAGCAGTGATCAATATATGCCTTTCAACTGTATGAAAGAAAATTCTAGAATGCCGGTTGATTAATGTTAACGTTATCATATCGCACGTACAAGTATTTAACCATCTGAGCATTAGCTTGTAATGTTCAAATAAACATTGAGATCATTTCGTGGCACAAGTTGGTTTCCAGGGGATATTCAGTTCCATTCTCAGTTACATATTCAATAATTATTGTCGCAGTCTTTGAATTGAACTCTGAGATAGGAGACCGCCCGCCTGCCGCAGCCGCTGAGTGTCTGCCGTTGTGTGCCCGCAGCAAGGCCAGACGGCGCTGTCGATCGCGCAGAAGCTGGGCTACATCAGCGTGGTGGAGACGCTCAAGGGCGTGACGGACCCCAAGCACGCGCAGACGCTGCCGGCGGACGAGAAGTACCGCGTGGTGGCCCCGGAGACCATGCAGGAGACCTTCATGTCCGACAGCGAGGACGAGGGCGGTGAGTGTGCGAGGACGATCGCCCGCGCATGCGCCCGCGCGCAACGGACAGGGCGCGCCGCGCGCAGCGCGCGCAGAAGGCGCAGCGGCGGCGGCGGCGGAGGAGGAGGGCCCGCGCAGACACCGTGCGGTAGACCCCAGGGGCAGTTCGCGGCCTCGAGGGTGGTGGTCGCCTAATAAAAATGAGATGGCGGCCGGCCCAGACGTACTCGTGAATATAGTGACTCATACTAAATGTTACGAACTTCTAAGGTAGTTAATGGAGTCGAAAATTATCACGTTTTGCCAATGACTATATAATGAGAAATTTCATATAATGAAGTCACGCGCGTTTTATTTTCCCCTGATTGTTATTCAATGTCGAATTCATATATGTACGGCTGATACATGAAAATACCTGTACGGCGTCCTAACGTGGTCTACCAAATACCTAGGCATAAGGTATTGCCTAATAATCGGGGGCATTTTATGTCATGTAAACTTATTCAATGGCAAAAAGTGATCATTTTCCTCGTCTCTACAGGTTTCAGAGGTTTGTAATAATCGAATTTATTCTGAGTCACTCCATAAAACAATGGTTTAATGAGAGACGTCTGGATCGGCCACCATGTCTTTTTTTCTGATTTGTCACCCTCAACGGCACGAATTGCCTCTGGTCAGACGCTATGTAGAATGGACCAGCCTATCGAGTAGTCAGCTACACTACCGTAGGTGTACGTAGATATTCGCTCGCTCAGCACGGTTTTTGCTTGGTCCAACAGGATGATCTAGGTGCTTGAAAACCCTACCTTGGAGTAGATTCACCAGTGAGAATCATGACGATATGATCCCATAAGTATTACGCAGATCAGCACAGTTTTAGTTTAAACTCGAAAAGCTCATATATTTTTATATGTAGTATTAAAGCTGTATAAAAAAATACATGCTACATCTCTTTTCAAATAGGGTTACCTGTTCTTTAGTGCGACAATAAATATATTTTATTCGCTTCTTTATTAAGGGTAGGCAAAGAGATTAGTAGCTCATCCCGCCGCATCTTCGTGCTTATATCCCTCAGTTAGCAATACGCTGAAGTAGCTAGCAGCTCGCAAACCCGCTAATTTAGCAAAATTGTACAATATTCTTTGTAGTAAGTAGTCTTGATCATCTACGCTGTTCGACGCTCAAATTCCCATTGTGCAATAGCAATTCATGTGGACTGAAATGACATTATTTCAGTTTAACATCGCCAGTGAACATTTGCAAAGCAATAAACCGCTTTTAGAGTCATTGCCATATGCAGCAAGGATAACATTTAGTTTTTTAGTGGCAAATGAAATTGGTCTCGTACTATTGTAGGAATAATTCGAGTAAATAAATTAATATTCCACCTGAGTAGTTATTTGTGCGAGTAAATGTTGTGCATTTACATGAACTAGCGTAATAGTAACTAGTGTTGTTCCGCTTTCAAATAATAACGTACTACCGCATTAATCGCTATTGAACTATAAATGTATTTACGATGTACATGAATTAACACCATCTGATTTGATTATACTCTAGAGTATTAGTGGAGTTGTTAGGCGAACGCACATTCTTAAAGCATTCATGAAAGTGATTGATATTTCTAAATATTCCTAAGTTGATGCTTGTTATTCCATCAAACTTCATACTCAATTTCAAAATAGTTTATTTCCGTTTTTAAGATAATAATCAAATACTCATACATTTCAAATAATGCGAAATACAATAAAAATGTACTTTACTCTAATTTTCTCAATTATTCGTATGATGTAGTGCTTTAACATGGGTGGGCTTTTAGCTGTAACGAGTATTAAAGTGATCGCTTTCGACTATTACTTCGAATATCATGCTTATGCTTTGCGTGTTGCAAAAACATTCTTTTCGACATTTAAAAAAATCATATAGTTTCTCATTCAGACTGGAAATAAAAGACGGATCACTATTCAAAACCAAAACTAACTGATTTTTTTTTCGACGAAATGACGTAAAACTTTTGTAAGCGCCGGATATTATTGGGTGCGCATTGATGAGGGGAGGCAGCAAGTGACTCGCTGCGTGCCGTCTGCGCGTTGCGAGCCGATGGGGCGAAACGCGGGGTATTGCCATGGGAAGCAGCCCCCGCCGGCGCCCAACAACACAGCCCTGGCGGGGGCGGGGGCAGTTGCGGGGGAGGCGGCGTTCCAAGCCAATTCGCGTACACTCACACCCCTTTCTCCGCGCGCTGAATAAACTCGCGCCCGCGCAGGTGTGGGCCGCCCCCACGCAAAGGCGTGCTCTCAAACCCGCCAGAAGAGCGGGCGCTCGCAGCCACTGAGCGCGCGAGTGTCGGTTGTGCTTCGGTTGCGCGGAATTCTACTGAGGAATGCTCGAATGCGAGATCGCGCTGACAACTCCACGGCCTCGTCGCGGTCTTTATCTCGTTCACATTTCCTCTGCGGTTCCTCTTTGGTGATAATAAAGAATGTTTGATTATGAATCAATGCCCTTAATTCTCTGGGTGGAATTATTCAATGAGAATGTTACTAACATAGAAATGTAAGAAGTATTAACACCTTTTAGAATGTCATAAAATGAATTTCCCACATTGCTTATCTCTCAACTTGACGTATGAGTCGAAAGTCATTAACATCAGTTGATTATAAAGGACAGATATTGCAAGTCATCTCTGCGATGTATATTTATTTTAGTTCAACTCCAAAACTACAGAAAAATTCCTTTTACTTCATCAAGTCATAAATTAACCTCTTCAATTATTTCCGTCGAAGTTTACTCTCAATCTCAGCAGCCACCATTCAACCAAGCAGATAAGCCGCAACCGCACAGTGAAACGCGAGCTAGTTCATAGAGCGGTTCGAGATCTCCATGGAATTCGAGAATCGATATCCCTCCGCGTGTTTGTTCTTCGGCGGAGACCCGGCACGCGGAAGTAGCTTCCGCCATTTGCATGGACACGGTGACACGCAAGCTCCCGCGTCTGGAAGTCGGAGAGCCAGAGGAAGGCCCACCGCCGCCGCCGTCGCCTCTACTTGTGCGCCACGCCATGGGGACACTTGGCTCGTGAAGGCTGCATCACCGTGGTGATGTGAGAACACCGCCTTCCTGCGAAACGGCGAAATGCATTTAAATTCAGTTTTTCAAACTTACCGTTAACGTAAAAAAGAAGCGCATGCTGAAAGTCGCATGATTAAATTTTTATTTAATCATAAGGTGTTTAATCAAAACAAATATGATAAATTAGTATAAAATGTATTGTTTTTACAATTGTGATTTTGAAAGATGTAAAATATTCTTTAAACTAATGTATTATTTTATAATTATTTTTGTTTTATTTTATGTAACTGATTTGTTATTAATTAGTTTTTGTTTGGTTTAACAATGGGCTAACTGATCTCAAGAGACCAAAATTCTGATAAAAAGTTCGAAATGTTTGGAGAGTGACGTCGCAAATAAACTATAAAAAGAAACACAGTTATTTACAACAGAATATTTTACAACTCTTTCTTACTGACAGTTAATAAAATTGATGCTTATTTAAAAACATATTGAATTGCTCTTGTGCACTTAAAAAACGTAGAGTTTACATTATTATTAACAAGCCGTGAGGAAGATTTTTCATATTTAATAGTAGTTGTAACGTGCAACGGTGAAGTGACATAACTTTGCTCTGTATTTTTGACGTGTTAAACCAACGTAATTCTTTCTTAGACACAAAATCACTAAGCAGTTTTAAGTGCCTAGAAAAGCCGAGTCGATCCAAAGTGACAGGCGCTAGAAACTCCTCCGATTACTCCACTTTGGCTTCCACGCGCAGATTTTCTCAAGCTACGTCACCTCACAAGTGCACAATTGAAGCAGCGAACAGCACGGGAATGACGTCACTCGAGTCAAGTGCTCTGCGGTGCGCCTGACTGCGTCACAGCCGCCGCCACTGCGGCCCACAGCATGGCGCATGCGCCCTGTAGCACCCGCTCCGATCACCATCGCCTCGTCTCACACTCCACCCCGCCCCGCCCCCCACCTCGACCCACTAACAGTGTTGCCTGACGACCTCTAAGTGTGTCTCGTCATCTAAGCCCCCCCTCCCCAACTCCACTCAGACCTCCTGGTGTCCCGCAGCCGTAGTCTGCTAGACTAGCTGTGGTAGCGGCAGATAGATCCCCACATGGGGGCGGACTAGTGCCAATAGAGTGATTAGACAAGTAGATTATAACATATCGTAGATCAGACTAAAATTGCTCGCCTTCCGTACGCCTTGGGGTTGTCTAGAGCTGGGTGGAGGTGAATCTCGCATGATGGTGGTGGGTTTGCTTGGAAAAGGCTGAGTATGAAATCTCTCGATTATGTTTGAGAAGTCTTCCAAAAACCACACACAGCTAAAATCTTTGATTTTAAAAGCTGAGGAATACAGAGAAACACTTTATGAAAAAGCAAGCATTGTTAATGATTATGTTTTTATGACACTTTTACTACAAAATACCCTTCTAGAGGTTCTAAAAGATTTAACACTGAGATTGCAAATGAAGAGCATGTTTTCACTATTTTAGTGATTTTAATCATGACAGTATTATTAGTTTGTAGTTTTAATATATATGTAGTTCATAGATCGTTTTAACAATTCATAATGTTTTATCTGTATTCCATTATTATTTAACATTTCATTTAAAGACAAAATTACAGCTTGATAGAAAGCGGTGTATCGATTTATCACAATTTGAAACATGAAGAAACAGTTTTCATTGATTTTTAAATACATACTGAGAAATATAAATATTTGCAACCCTCTAATTTTACTATTAGGATTGTTAGAATACTCTCATAAAAACAAGAATGACAGTGAATAATCGAGGGCTGTTTCTACCAAGGCGTCTCCGCGCGTAAGCGCCACCTCGTGCGAGATCAACTCTTGGGCAGCGTGTGGATGCCGAGACGCGCGGAGAGGCGAAGTGGGGAAGCACAGGGCTTGCAGAACGGCGCGGGAGGGTGCGAGCAGGGTCGGATCTACACTGCTAGGCCTCTGGGCTGCGACGTCTCCTTGAGAACAAAAACATTTTAAAAATAAAGAAAGGAAAATTTTGCCTCAGCCGGTCATTCAAAATCTGAAGGAATGCCTGCTATAAACGTAAACCTCGCACTTGAGGTTTAATAATCAGGATAATCGGATTTTTTAATTAAAAAAAATTGAGAATGGTACTAAATATATTTTAATTTCTTTTTATTTAAGTTTGGTTTTGGTTTCTCTTCTCGAGGGTCCCCAGATGGCCGAGGCCATGGGTTGCAACTCGCAAAGCCAGGCGCAAAACGAGGGAATCTTCGTCGGAGATGCAGGGTGACTCCTCGTAGGTTTGTGTACTTGAACAACAGTAAGACCCGTTTCAGACCTAAGTCTTAATTTTCACTTCCAGTGGTTTTAGGTAAAGACACACATGTATGAACAACATGTAAATAGATTTTTTAAATTTTACCTGAACAATTGTGTAAAATTTTATCAATACCAAAAGTAGATGGGGTTGGCTTAGGTGCCAGAATATAAGATGACGTTAAGAATTGTGAGAGAGAAAGATCTAAAAGATTTTACCCTAAGCATGTAGTAACATGGAGTTGAGTCGCAGTGTAAAGTGAATCAGTCTGAAGCATGATGCCCATGGTTTTTGGGATGTGCTGGGGGGAAAATGATGCATCTCAGTAGTATTAATATCGGGTACAGTTTTGATCAAAGACCGGTCAGCATCCCTTCGTCACCTTGCGGCACCCCGCGCCTTCATTTCGCGCCTGGCCCGAGGCCCACGCATAGAAGCCGGCTCTGGTGTGGAGGGGTCGTGAGGGGCGGGGAGGGGGAAGGGTCGTTGGGGAGAGGGAGGGAGGGAGGTGCGAGGGGGGGCGGGTCGCGCGCCCAGCAGCCCCGCCCTCACCGCTGCTTGGTCTCCTTAAAGGTGACGGACAGTGTTGACCCCGCGCGTTCTGGTAAACCCGCCCCACCGCCCGCCACATCTAACTTCCATTCTATGAGGGCCAGGATTGCTGCTCACCCGTGTGCGTCGGGCGCCGGCGCTCGCCCGACACGCGCGTCATGTTGGCAGCGCTGGGAGTCAGAGCCCCTGAGGTTTCACCCCTGCCTGCTTGCTGCCCCGCCCACTTGGCCCCCACGCCCACCGCCTCCTCGCCCCCTCGCATGATGCACCTCACGCCACGCCCCTCGCCCGCACCATCGCACTGCGCTGCTCGCCGCCGCCGCCATCCCTACTCGCTCCCTACGAGCCACGCGACCACTTGCAATAGTTTGCCGCAATTATGTGCAGAGAAGAGTCTGGAACAAACGCGTTCGAAAGTACCTCAGACATTGATTCAGCTTGGGCCTCGTTTGTCCGAGATACTGTCGGTCACGTTTACTCAGAGGCAATTCACCCCAAATCATTGCAGCAAGGTACTGCTGTTGGACGCGCGACTGCACTGCGGCGATGTTTCAGAATGGTAGTTCGTGACGGTTGAGATCGAAGGAATTTGCGAAAAGTGGAGAGACAGACATGAAACCTCATCCGTCTTTCCGTGGCGCTTGCTGTCAGAACTCAAAACGTTAGCGTCTGCTTATATTCCCGCTGTATACATTTCAATGCTTAATACTTTTGGGTCTGACAGCCAGTGTTGGAGAGACGCGGTGCAGGTTGCGTGCCTGTCTTCCCATCACTTGAGAATTCCCTTGTTTCTGAGACTCGCGGACTAATAAACTACTCAAACTACCCATATTCTCCTTTTTACTTATTTCCCTTCTATAATTTCGTTAATACTTGGAATAAACCAATGAAGAAATTCTAGAAAGTTATAGAACTAATTTTGATTTAAAATTGAACAAGTAAAGTTCAATAAAGTCTGTCAGAAAATATAAAAAAGAAATTATTATATTGAGTGAACACGATTTAAGCTTCCTGTGAAAGTTAGAGGAATAATTTCTTGTCAAGATTAGATTATTTCAACAAATTTGTGACAATCGAAAACTAAACTGGTAGTAGCAAAAGCATACTAGCTATCTTAACAACCATAAACATAGAAATACATATTAATATTGCTAAAGGTCAATTACATTGATTTAACAATCTGTGCTAGAACAAAATGTGTAACTGTAATTCGAATGTGTTTGAATGGCCAGGAAGCTACAATACGCCCTGCGAACACTGCATTAACATGCATAAGATAGTACACCTTTGTCCTAAATTGTATATTAACTATATTTGAGATAAAATTGTTCCACTTCCGTATTAGAGAAATGTATTATTTTATTTATTCAATAGCCATTCAGTATGTAAATGAGAATGATATAAATATCAAATGATGCACAGTATCAATATTGAAGGACACTAGATGGAAAGTAGGTCACGTTAATCTCTTCAGGGACCCGTTCGTCGGAGAGCTTAGCCATGAGTGAAGAGAGCGATTATCTGATTTAAATTCAAGCGCCCACTAATTAAAGCATTCCACTGCCGAAGGTTTATTCTGAAATCAATCTTGTTTCTGCGAGTGCAATTTCATCCGTGGATACGCCCCGCCCACGGTTTGGCAGTCGCGACGGGAGATCGATGGAGGGCGTATGGGGTCGCGGCAAGGTCAGCCAACATCGGTTCGCGTCGGACCGACATCGGATAGACTGCGGTTCGCTCGCCATTACCACGAATTGCGACCCAGCGGGCGGGTTGCTGCCGGCCGCGGCGGAGTGCCCGTAAACCCCACCCCCACCCCGCCCCCCTGCTAGCCGTGGACGTGTCTCGCCGTCGACGTTGCGGGATCAGATGGAGCCCCAATCTACAGATGAAGCTCCGTGTAAATAGACAAAACCGGTTAGAGTGTGCAAAGGGACAAGGGCGTTTCGTCTCCGTGCTCAAAGCGACAGAAAGTCGATAACAGCGGACGAAGCAATTGGCGAAGTGCTCTGGTCGACACTAGCACTGGGGTTGCGGTCGGCTTTTGTTCGTATGTGAAACATTAGACTCGTGTTGGGCGAGGCGTACTAGATAATGTAGAATGAAAGGTAAGGGAATGTGTATTGATGGTACAGGCTTTAGAAAAAACATATTGTGAGTTCTCAAATAAATTCCTAAATCATGTATTTATTTTCGTTTGTAAACTTGGCTTTCTATCTTCGTCTGATCTTACAAAGCAATGTTGAATTCTTTTACATTATTCTCGAATTAAGTTTCAAGAATCCAATCACCTAAAATTTACCCAATAAGAGGGAATTATTTGAATTGAAAACCATGTATTTATCCAGTCATTCTGTATAAAGGTATACATTTATGTAATTTTCTTCAATAGTATTATGAAATCCAAAAATAAATAATTTTATTTTCCAGATTTAAAACAAGGCAATTCATTTGGAAGGAAAGATTTTTACCGTTATTTATAAACAATGCAAATTAATAAGTAAATATTTGCATTAAATTAAATATTTGTTACAGAAGTTAACGTAGATACGTACTCTACCATGTAATTGGATTCGCAAATCTGTTGAGGAAGACTGCCGAAATGCCGTACTCTCCTCTGTTGTCTTTACAAACAGTCCACAAACAACACTCGCGGCGTTCGTGTGTTTTCGCTGGGCAAATGAACTCATTGTGAAGTAGCAAAGTGAAATGCCAATGGAACGACGAATCGACATACAAACAGTCTGCTGTGCAAAAACAGAGAGTTGTTGACGCTTCAAAGTAAAACATTGAAGGTCGTTGAATATTTTCACACTAATCAGGGATTCAGATATTACTCATTATGAGGTGAGCCACAAAAGGTCATTTTTGAGTTATTCTTATCAAAATTTTGAAACTATTTTTTAAAAATTTATTTGTTATATTGTAAATTTGTGAAGGTATAATACTTTGCAAAAATGTGTGTCCTGCAACGGTAATAGTTCTTAAAATCGGATGATAACAACTGCATTGGTGTTTAATGTACAGTAAAGCAGGTCCTGATTGATCTAAATATTTAAAAGCAGTATACCAATGGCCAAAAAACTACAATTGTTTAGTTTTCTGACAGATATCTTAGGCATTGTTACAAAACAAAACAGAAAACATTGTTGCTTCTCTTACGCAGGAATTGGCAAGTGTCCTCGATTCAAACTAAGCTCTGTTTTGTTTGAAATGTTTGAAAATCCAAGTGTACCCGATTCCCCCGCCTCCTCCACACTCCGTCAAACTCTGCCTCACTCCTCTCAACCCATCGACATCTCTTCACTGCGTCATGTCTCGCCCCATCCCATCACAACGCACCATTCTACATCCTTCCACACCTCGTTACCCCCCGCCACATCCCGCCACACCTTGTCATCCGGCAACATATCGCCACATGCCTCCGCTCACCGCTTTTCTCCGTCAAGCCCCGCCACACACCACCACATACCACTACATACCAAGTCATACGGCCACCCCACATTGCTCCATGACGTCCTGCCGTAACATCCCTCCACGCCCACATTATCCCGCCACACACCGTCACAGCCAGCACGCCGAGCCGCGCAGCGGGGCTGGAGCCGGCCGCCGGTCCAGCGGCGCGCTCTATTTCTGCGCTCGGCCTTGGCGCAGATCTGGCTGTGACGGGGCGTGGCGGCGCTCCTCCCCGCTCCCCGAAATACCCCGCGGCACTGTGCGGCGCGGCGCGGCGGGCGGCTGCAGTCTCGCGCCAGTCCCCGTCCCTGTCCAGCGAGACTGCGGCGGCCGCGCCCGCGCCCGCGCCCCGGCCCAGCGATGTGCACCCCGGCGCCCCGAGTGTGCTGCCTGCCTGCCTGTGCGTGGAGCCCCGGACCCGCCTGCTCTGTGTTGTGCCGCTGTGGAGAGCACCGCGACGCCAGTGAAGCCCACAAGCCCCGGCCTCTGCCCCCGCCTGACACGCTGACAGTGCGCGAGTGTTCTGTGCCGCGCCCGACGCGCTGCTTGCTGGCCGCTTTCGTTGGGAGCGCCCGGGAGAAGTGTGTGTTGGTCAATTGCCGTTCCTGGACCCGGCCTTTGTAAAGCTTGCGCTTTCGTTTAAATAAGCAAGAGACATGTGGGTGCAGCCGAGAACGTAATGCCCAGGACAGTCACAAATGCTCAGGAGCAGGAAGATTCTTATTCGGGTTTAGGACCTCTATGCTTTAAATTTGACAATTGCTACATTTTCAAATTAACGGATCATGTAAATGCTTTATATAAAAGTATATTGTAGAAAAGACAGATTAGTGTATTCAAATGATATCGTTAATGATATGATGCACACGAAATGATACTGTTTAAAATACGGTGTGAATGATACAATTAGAGTTTTGCATTAATAAGAATGATTGCAAAAATGCGCAACAAACGAATCTTAATAACGCGTTCACAACGTTCAAGGAGGTTCGATATCAATGACCAGAAAATGTCACTCCGAAATATCGTTCAACCGGGTGGCACACCCGTGCGCAGCCGGCTGACGAAACCCGCTGACGCAACGGCTGACGCTCGAGCGCGTGTTGTGCAACGGGGCGACGAGTTCGCGGTTGAGTCGGATGTTCGTTTCTGGTGCCGGTCCCGCGCGCGCGAGGCCATTTTTAAATGCGCGCCTTGAAACGGTTTAATCGCATCATCGCTTTTTCCGCGGTGTGAGCGTGCGTCGCTCCCTGGCGTCGTGAATGGACGCCGAGTTATGCGCGAGGGAACTCGAGACCATGTTATTCCGGTCAGCTATTTTCGGAATGGCGAAAGATAAACAGTGGATTAACCCAACCCCAAAACACGTGTTCTGTTTTTTTCGTTTGTTACGTATGTTTACGTTGAATAAACATGAATGAAAACGATCGAAGTTAAAACAAAACAAATTTTGGTGAAAATGTGTTAATAGTTCAATATCTCGTATTTTTATTATGTTTTGGATGTAAAGACAGTGGGCTGGTGGGTTTCTGATAAAGGTGTGAATGAATTTCTCACAATCAGCTTTGACAAGAGAGTCAATATCAACATGGATACACTCTACGATTAAGGTCTATAAGCTGTATCGAAATTAAAATAAAACATTTTCACGTGTTTAACAATATGACGGAAATTGTAGAAGTTTCTATAAAACACTTCGAATTAATTTTAAGTATTTCACTTTGTTGAATGAATTACATCCTAACTGTAATAATATTTCAGTTAAAGGAAAATCATAATATAAAGTGAGTGTATGCCACCGCCATCTCGAATCAAGACAAAAATAATTATGTTAACGGTATCACTTCAATATTTTAATGTTTCGCGATGATATTTCTTCGGAAGATATTCTCCGGAAAGTAAATCTGTTACTAGACCAACATCACAGCTCTCTCAGCCGAGGCGGGGCCGGGTGTAGATTCATAAACGCGGGGTTCCGGCAGCGACTTGGCTAGACCTCTGCATTCCACGTCGACGAGGGCTGCGTCTGAACTGTCAGGCTGCACTCAGGGAAGAGGCTGGGGTGCGCAGTTGCGAACGCGACGCGGGGCGGACACGCTGTCAGTAGCGCGTCCAGAGTAGTATTTGGCATGGGACTGAAGCCTGGAGCTTGCTTCAATGCAAAACTACTCCTCGCTCATTTGAACTAAGTGCGTACTATTAATTAATCGTGATTCAATGAGGATCTGTGTGATGACGGTCTCGCAAAAAGGATATATCTCAGAAAAACGTCGGTGAAGGCAATTTTAATCTAAAAACACTGTGTTGTTACTTCAGTAAAAAACTATTCAAATATTTGCATTGAAGTAAACTCTAGAATGCAGGTTCTCAAATACATATAAACGGTTTTATTGCCATGTATTAACGAAATAAGACTTACAATTTACGAACCGTTACGAACGGTTCGTGTTTACGAACCGAACCAATCGGAATGGTACTTACAATTTTACAACCCCATTTCACACACAAAACGCAAATTGCTTCTAATGTATCGCTTAGTGACAAAATGGGCAGTGTTTGACAATTGGGTTGAGGAGACCATTCAATTACAAGCTGACATCATATCCTCACGTGGTCTCCTCAAATCAATCGCCTCATTCTGCTGAACTTACCAATTAGTGGTAGATTAGGTCTGCTGTGCACATTGTGTATGAAATGACGTCATAATATCGTGCGAAATAAATATTGCATATAGTATTTTGCAATCATTATATAATTGCACATAATGCTGTGCAAAAAATACACAATTCCGTACAATATTGTAAAAATAATACGTAGTAGATTATAATATTGTGCAAAACTGTATATTTGCATATACTATTGTGGAAATAATATATAATTGCATAAAATATTGTGGAAATAAGTTACAATTGTATATACTAATGTGAAAAATATACAATTGCATATAATGTATTGCAAAAACCAGTAAAACATTAAGCGTCACGTCCAGATTTAGTGGATAAAACGAGGATGGGCGTTCGTTAATACGTAGCAGTTTGTGTCCGCCGAGGCGCGTGTTTCGCGTGACTGTGCGTGCGCGTGGGCGCGTGGCGCGTGGGAAGTGGGGGAGCGGCTGAAGGCGCGCTGCCTGCAGGCGAAGACACCATGCTGAGCGACCAGCCCTACCGCTACCTGACGGTGGACGAGATGAAGTCCCTAGGCGACGACTCGCTGCCCATTGACGTCACTCGGGACGAGCGGATGGACTCCAACAAGGAAGCCACGGGTAGGTACCCGCCTGCGCCCGCCCGGCGCACGCACACTGGGCCGAAACGAGTCAAACGACGGGGCAGAAGCGCATAGCAAAACACTCAAACGAAAAACTTTTTAATTACTTATTTATTAACTTAAGTAGAAAAATGTGGTCGCACGGTCTCTCGTTATTAGTGACCCAGGGCAATTTTTAGAATCAAAATTCATTCTCATTCATTCCCAATTACATTGTTATAACACAATACACGGTTACTCACATATGCTTTACCAGTCTCATAAATCAGCAGAATAAGTGACTCTACATTACATTTAACAACTTTTTTATGGTCTTAAATTTAAATAAACGTATGCATTTCTTAAATAAAAAACTGATTCGTAAGGCACTTATATTTTAATAGATATAATATTGTATGTCGATTAAATAATTAAAAAAAGTTTTATTATTAGTACTTTATCACGCCAATCCACTTTTTTGGAAAAGAAGCTGTTCGTGAAATTGAAGCAATCATGTATAAAATAGATTCTTCTCAGTCAATCATGTGTTATAAAAATTACACATCTTTCAAGAAAGTTGTCAGTTTATTCATTCTTTCGTTTATTATTAAACGGTTCCAGACAAGTAAGCTCAAAATATTAAATTATTTGAGAAAAATGGAATAATGAATGTAAGATGAGGCAGCTGTAACCATCTTCAAATCAGGGAATGCCAATTTAAATTTAACCCTAAATGATTGATAAATTAAATTTCCTCATAAAAATCCGTAAAAGAGAAAATGGGATTTATTGAGGAAAAGGAGTAAAATACGAAAGGAAATAGTACCACATTTTGCAAACGTGCTTTCTTTTTCAGTACTATAAGTGGTATTCGTATAATCTTCCTATAAAAATGTAGATTTTGAAAAATGTGTGTCCCATTATTTTGGTGTATTAAACTTCTTGTATTTCCATATTATGTTTTCATCGTTAGGAATACTGTCTTCAGAATCTCAGGAAACATGTTTTGCTACGCGCGTTTGATATCGTTTCTGCCCACTGTTTGCTGCCGCCGCACCCGCCGCGCCACCACCTCGCTTCTCTCTCTTTCTCTTTCTCTCTCTGGCAGTGGCGTAACCTCTTGGTGGGTGGAGCACACCAGTGATGACACTTCGGATATTTTAGTTTCTAGCACGCAGCAGAAATGCCAATAGCGATTGTTAATATTTTGACATCAGAGATATTGATACCTGCTTGTCTCAGAATGTGAATTGCATTTCACATTAAACTGTAAAATCCATCATAATAATATATTAGTAATTCCGTTTTTGAAAGTATTTCATAACAATATATCGCTTGTAATTGCTAAAAACGTGCAGTACAGTTTTAAAGTTCCAAAATTTGTCTTTATTGATATAGTCAGCAAGGATATTAGTTTGTTGACAAATCAGAGTTGTAAAAACTGTATATTTATCATGTGACCAGCTTTTTCAAATGTATCTGTAACATTTAATTTGAAGCTGAAAATACTACGAAACGAGATACTTCTTTGGGAATTCGAAAGAATCACACTTTCGTATTCACAAATTCGTGAGAATTGCACGTTCTCACTGTTCATTTGAAAATATTATCGCAACAACTAATAAAAGGCTAGGTAATAAGGTGTAATGCATATAGCTATAAGTATAATTGAATGTAAAACATAAAAAGAATCAAGAAGGATGGAAATGATTTAAGACACTTACGAATTAAAAAGTAATTTAAACTATTAAGTGTTTTATATATAATACAAAATAGTATTTTATACTTTGTATATCTGATTTATACAATATTACCGCGAATATATATATATACATTTATCATAAAGTTGCGCCACTGATCTGTCTCTGCAAAACATATATTGTATCTTCCCGCTTTTTATCTTCACAGTGTACATAACACGTACATGCATGGCTTCTAGACAAGTTCATAAAGAGCAGATTGGTTGCCTACCTTCGTAAGCTTTCACCCACGAAAGTTATAATTGGCGAAGAGAGTTCCATAATGATTATTAAGCGATTTTATATATCAAATATGGAATTTGTGTATTCTTTTAATTTTTTACAATTTGTATAGAAGCCTACTTCTTCTGACTACTTATAAAAAATCTAATGCCTCTTGCACTCCCCTATTATGCACATGATTCGATGTTGCTTTTTAAAATAAGTATAACTGCTTATATGTGTTAGTCGACTCATCTGTGTTGTATTCTTACTTTCCTCTTTCTCTGCGCTTTTCGTGTTGTATAGCATGGATATATTGAAGGTTTACAAAAATACTTGTATTATAATCCCAAAGTAATCAATTCGTTTCAGGAGTAATTCACATCACATGCCCCTTTGAATTTTAAAATGCAACAAGAAGTTTTTTATGTTAAATAAATATGTAATTATTACAATTTCGTTAATATTCAGAATTATTTGTTAATGAGATTAATTGATCTACCATAACTGATTATTCCACTATGAAGTTGAAGATGTCACCTACTTAATATTCCCTTTCTAATTGCACTTTGCAACTCAAAAAACATATTTTTGTAGATACAGAAAATAATACTTTTAATAAGTAAAATCTAGAAAAATTCTAAATTTTTCTTAAAAAATCATACTGTAACTTTATTTTCAACGTGCATAATGGCGTGCAAGATGGATTAACAAAAATATTAATGTAAATATTAGTAAAGGGAAATAACAATGTTATATTCTTCATACTTGGCGTTTTGAAGGCTCCTCGAAGGTGTCTCTTCTTGAGAGAATCCAGTACTACGGAGAGCCGACGTCATCCGAATGCAGCAGCCAGACAAAACCAATGATGCCCGGTCCTACGAGCAAGAACATTTCCTAAACACATTCAATGATACAACGCATTGGCCATACGTTACTTTAACAATCTGGGTTTAATAAACAGCTTTTAAAAAATACACACAAACTATTAAAGAAATCACAATGCAGTTCTTGGTTGTCTTTGAAAATATATGATAAATATTATATTTTGTTCAAAATTTTATTCGTACAATTCATGTTCAATATGAGCATTTGAATTAAAAATATTTCCAGATAATAATTTAAGAACACAATAAGTAAAGGCAGTTATATTTATAAAATTAAACTCAAGTTTTTACTTTCATTTTATTTTCCCATACAGTTGATCAAGTATGGTCCATTAATCTATTGATAAACCTAACTCTGGTGTTGATTCAAATTCAAGGTGTTCACATGAGTGGAAACACTTCTCAAACTTTGTACACACAAATTTCTTCCACATCGTAATTCACTATTACTGGGAACTGTTCTTGCATTGGTTCCGGAACATCTTGCATGCAGAATGTCCGAGTGAAGCCTATTCAGTGCGACTTTCTTCATCAGCGACGAAATTCAACACATTCCTTCTTTTGAGAAGTATACATGTGTTTAGTTTACAGTACACGCAAAAGAAAAAAATCAATATTGGAAATCTGTTCTTTAAAATATTTAATATTAATTTGACTTATAAAGAATTTACTAGCGTGCAGTTCCATTTCATATACTATTTATTTTATATGTCTTTGTTTTCGAACGACTTCATAATAAAATGCCGCAGATGAGTAAGTAAAGGAATATGTACGATTTTTACAAATCCTTTTGATCACAAGAGTTCTGCATATGCGCTAGAATAGATATGATAGTACAATCTATTACAATAAATTATTATTTTTGTACTGGGAGAACTCTATAAGATTATTGAATTGCACAATATATCGATATAAAACATTAAGCATTCCAATAAACGCGTTAGTTAATGAATTAGAGTTATAATGAATCAAGAACGGGGCTAAAAGTAGTGACCGTATTTAAAAATCAAAGATTACGAAGAGCTCGATGCTGTGTCAACAAAGCAATCGCCATCAACCCCAACAGTTTCCACCCACAACCTTTTGGAAAGCAAGCAGCCGTCGCTGATGAAGGAAGTCGCCGGGGGCACTCTGCATGCGCCCTAGAAAGGGGAACGGAATGAGAAAGAAGTGGCCTGCGCCCCTCCCCCGGCCCCCTCCCCCCCGCTTGCCGCTACATGGCGTGGTGTGTGTGATTTCTGCGTAGGGCTCGAGCGGCGCTCTATTACCCACAGAGTTCTTGTTGTGATGTCCGCCCCGCCGCCCCGCGCCGCGCCCTCGCCCCCAGCGCCCGGGCACGCCCTGTTGTCGAGCCCCTGTTGCGCGCTTGCGCCAGTGTCCGCTGTGTGCCCGCAGCCGCGCCGCTCACCGCCGTGGACGAGACCGCCAGCCCGCAGCACATCAAGGACACCTACGCGCAGTACGCCGCCAACTACACCCCCGACAACGTGGAGCTGGCGCGCCACCCGGTGCACGTGGGGTGAGTGCCGGGCGGCCTTCTTCAGGGCTGGAATGCCACGGAAGCGTCTTACGTCGCTTGAACGTTTATCGCAGGTTCGGCAGCCTACCGTGGCCTTCAAAGCTGAAAAAAACAATTGTATTGCATAGGACACGAAAGCGTCTAATCTCACTTGTACATTTTCTCGAAGTTCTGCAATGTGTACCGTGGCCTTCTTCTGAGCTGAAAAGTCATTCAAAATACGTCATCTGCGATATCTTCTAACTTCACTTGTTTTCCTGAACGTTCAGCTATCTATCCTGATCTTCTTCAGGGCTGAAATGTCAATCGAATTACGTCGGCCACAGAGGCATCTAACTGCATTTGTACGTTTTCTCGAGGTTCTGCTACTGCATCTACCGTGACCTTCTTCAGGGTTTAAAAAGCAATCAAAGACGTCAGCCGTGGACGCTTCTAACTTGATTTGCGGCACGTTTTCAAAAAAGTACAATCCTGCTCATCTCAAGGGCTGAAGTGCCAATGGAATTACGCCCGCCGCAGAAGCTTGTTACTTCACGTGCTGCGAACTTTCCCAATGGTTCAGCAATCTATCATGGCCTTCTTCAGGACTGAATTGTCAATCGAATTACGACGGCCGCGAAAGCTTTTAACTTCACTAGTTGCAGGCTTTCCCAATGAGACAGCTCTCTACCCTGATCTTATTCAGGGCTGAAATGCCAATCGAATTACGTCTTCCGTGAAAGCTTTCTGCTTCACTTCAAATTTTTCCTACGGTTCAGCCATTACTCTAGCCTTCCTATGGATAGAAATACCAGACAAATTTCAACGAGGCAGTTTTAAACTCGCTTGTTGGCTCCCCTAGCAGCAGTACTTCCCGGTTGTTGCACGGTTACTCAATTTAGTGCTCAGTTAAGGGCCAGTGCGCAAAGAGCACAAGCTGCACACCTGTTTTAAGGCCTTTCCCTTATCAGAACTATTAATCCTTACAAACTGTTCTTGGTTACTCGGTGACGCCACACGGCAGCGAAGGCAGTTTTCATGACACTGAGAATTTAAGAACTTCACTTTATTGTCGTGGTCCACCCGTCTGTTTGAACTCCTTTGGTTTCGCGTCTATAGCTCCTAGAATTTTCTTGGAATTACATATTCTGATAGTGGGATGACATGAGCAATTAAAATTTTGTAAAAGGAGGTAAATTTAAATTGAACTGGTTGAACTAGTAGTTATTCTCCATTCTATTATAGACTTCCCAATTAACTTTTTCATTCACTTCCATATGTGTTTTAATTTTTGTGCTTGTAAAATATCGGTTATTCGAAGATTTTAATGTTGCTTTTGCACCTTCTCGGGAAGGAATTTTCGTTTAGATTAATTAAATTGTTATTGCTATTCAGTATGTAATACTAGGCTAATATCAGAATATAATTAAGTGAGATGAAAAAGTTAATCAGTTCGTAGTATTATTCGCGAAAGTAATATACTGAATTTAGTTTGTGTTACTTGTAATATTGTATTGTTTCTACATTCACTCTCCTTCATTGCTCATTTGTTTGTCTCTGCTTTTGTTGTGTACGTGCTTCTGTATTCATTGTATTGCCTATGTTCACACGCTGCTCTCTTCAGGAAACTACATTGGAAGAAGTAAGTATTCATTTGACAGTTGCATGGGCGTACATGTTAAATCATTTTGTACTTGTAATGTATACAAATGTTGAGGTGATGATTACAAATGTTCCAAATGGGTGTCAAATATTTACAAATGAGATATAAATGATTAATTGGAATAGCTGATTGTAGCATTGTCAGTCAAATGATTACATTGTATTGCTAAAGGTCTTAAAGAGTCTGATAAATAATGAATTATGCTGTCTTCTCTGGCTATTGAATTTAGTAGCTACTGAATGATGCTGGTGAATGTTGAGCGTAACTGTTCATCTTGGTCGCTGAATGTGTTTTATAGGTCGGGCTATAGGATTTATGTTGGATTTACTGTTTGATTTGTTCAATTTGTTTAATTTGCCCGTTGAACTCTGAAGTTGAATGCGTCCGTTTAACACGACTGTTGATCTCTTATTGTTGAACACAACAATTAGATACAACTGTTGGATGCATCTGTTGAATGGTATTATCGGATGCGACTACCACATTCGCTCATGAACTCGACGTTGAATACGAATGTTGAATGCGACTTCTGCAAGTGACGTTGACTTTGAGTGTTGAACTATCTAGTGCGTGTTGGATTCGAATGTTGATCGTGGATGATGAATGCGATGGTTGGAAGTGACTGTTGGACGTGATTGTTGGACGCGACTGTTGTATGCCATTGTTGGACGTGACTGTTGTATGCCATGGTTGGAAGCGACTGTTGACTATTGCAAGTCGGGAGTCGTGTGAGAGTTGCGTGCGTGGCGCGGGCGAGCGCGTTTGGGGCGCATGGTGAGCGCTGTGCTTGCCGGCGCAGCTTCCTGGTGAGCTTCCTGGTGGACGCGCGCGGCGGCGCCATGCGCGGCTGCCGGCACTCGGGCGTGCGCGTGATCGTGCCGCCGCGCAAGGCGGCCATGCCGACGCGTGTCACGTGCCGCTACCTGAAGCGCGACAAGCTGGCACACCCGCCGCCGCTCATGGAGGGCGAGGCGCTGGCCAGCCGCATCCTGGAGCTGGGACCCGTCGGCGCCAAGTTCTTGGGGTGAGTTGCAACCCCTTTCCACAATAAGATGTTTATTTTCTCGTAATAGAATTCTGTTGTATAGACTTAATGCAACCAAACAGGGCAACAAAAAGCCACTTAACGGCCGGCGTGCGTTAAGGATTTTAGTCCGCCGTCTGTTAAGAACGAACGAAACCGAAGATCAGTATATAAAGATGACGGGTTAGTATCAGACATGCAAAAAAGTCTTTGTTATGTAAATGATATTTTATTATAAGAAGATCGCATTACGAAAAGTACTTGATACACCTTCGATATCACAAATAACTGTCTTGGTTTTAAACCACAGCTAATGCGTCGCTTTACGTACCTCCAATGCGTCAGATATTTCTCTACATCACTAATGATAACATAATGTCTGTACTGGTAAGTGATTGCGGAATATTATTTTTTTAAAATTGATAAATATTGCCGCTTTAATTAAACGGCACAGTTTAACGCGTCTCAAGTGCTCTGTTGAAGATTTGTTGGACTTTTTCGGTTTCGTAAGTACTAGATACTTTTATACCCACTTAACTTGGAATTTTTTTATTAATATTAACTTTCAAACTTCATTAATTTTAGAACCTTATCTTTATTGAGAATCTTCGACGCACTTACACCCTTAATTACCTTACTCATAATATCTGGAATAAGTTACGCAATATCTGGTCCTGTATACTGTGTGAAAATAAATATTCATAAGCAAATAAGTAGAATCAACATTTGCCAGGAGGACTGCTGACAAATTGATATCTCCTCTTCTAACTGCAAATAATTTCATACTAGGTAGTCCTATTCTAACATATGGTTAAATGACAATAGCCCATGAAATGTAATGTATTACAATACAGCTTCAATTAACGCTCCCAAATGATTATTGTATGCTTCGTGTGATAAACACGCATTTTTGCAGTAATGAACAAATTCTTTCGTACATCATTATTGATACAAATTTGCATATTTGGGCTTCCGCAAGGAGCTGTGTGACTAAGGCGTTTGTGTGTGCTCGCAGGCCGGTGATCATCGAGGTGCCGCACTTCGGGTCCCTGCAGAAAACGGATAACGGGACTAATTTGAACAGAAAAAAATCTTGAGAAAAAATATTTATGGGTGTTGTATTTTTGCATGTTTGACATTACTGCACAAGTTTCTCAAGTCTTAACATAAAAGTTGACGAAAATTATCTTTTTCCAATGATTTCCAGTTGACATAAATCTAAACCGTTCCACTCTTCACGTACTCTAAAATTCTTTTGCTTTCTCGAACGATTTGATAGTGTGCGAAAAAAGGCTTTCCATTATCCAGCAAACGCTCGCACCCACGTTCCCTCTGCACCTTCCACATGTACTGCCCCGAGGCCGCGCATCTTACTGCAGCATGCAGTGCGCCCTGCTGCTTCCGTTCAGCCCAGAGGATCCCTGTATCCCCTCGCAGTGTTTACTCCAGTTGGCGGCCGGACGATGACGGTCAGGGAACGCGGGGCCCCGGTGGACGGGGGGCGGCAGGCGGAGGCGTCAGTATTAATCTTGGTTTCTCTGAAGAACTATACGGAGTGTTTGGGGGAAAAGTCGTGAAACCACCTTGAAAGAACGGATCGAGAGAAACTTACGCAAGGAAAAGTATCTCAAGTTTACAGTTCAACGATTTTGGATTGCGTGCCACGTTTAACCTAACTCTGTATATAAAGTCAGGTAAATTCTGGTTGCCGCGTTGTGCAACAAACAATGTTCTCATTTGGATGACTTGTATACGCCATTCTCCATTAGAAACATTTTTGTTGTTTTTTTTTTGCTACGTCAATTCGTAATTTGGATGCATTTTCTAGAAACATCAAGGTGCATTTTAGAAAAAATAAAGTTTGTGAAGATCTAACACAGACACAAGACACACTTTATACGATTCAAACAAGACTGACGACACGTCTGTGAGACTAAATACAAAATTATTGTATTGTGTATTTTTTGCAACGCTACTTTTGTTCCAAAAACTAAAGAGAACATTGAGATTGTACTCATCGTTTCAAGCGGTACCTGAGTTTCATCCACACCCCGTACATAGCCAACCTGAACCGCACCGCGTGTGAGGACCGACCGGGACTACGCGAGACAGACTCGAGAGAGCCTCGCGTGTCAACCTCCCACCGCCCCCGCCGCCGCCCGCGCCGTGGTCTGGGCCGCCTCACCCACGAGCGAGAAGCGCTTCTTCTTGGGCACGGTGGTTGACCGTGATCTTTGTGAGCATCCCGGCGTGCGCGCCCTTGCGCGGCTTGAACAAGTTACCTGCAGTCCCACTTTGATCTTCTTGGTGAGCGCGCCCTGCGGGAAGACGGCCTGCACCTGCGCACCACGCTCGACGACACCATGCCGCCCTCGGGCCGATGGCGTGCAGCCCCTGGCGCACGCGCGACACGATGGCGAAGTACTGCGGAAGTCGGAGGGAGGATGCGCGATGGTGCGGCCCGGCGCCGCCTTCCTCCAGCGCTGCCAAGCTCTGAGCACACCACACCCGCGCGCCGTCACCTCGGCGCGCGCGCTCCTCGCCTCTGGCGCGAGCTCGCCTCGCTCTGTGTGTCATCTACTACTTACACCCTTATTGGTTTTCAAAAAGCGCTCTCATTTCAATAATAGTATCAAAACAGTAGATCAATTAGAGTAAATTATGTTATAAATGATTCACTTGTTAAAAGAAAACTTTTGGAAACCTTTACATCATCAATAACATTCGGTCAATGTGTGTATATAATACTCATTTTGTTGATTATAAGGGAAGCTCGCGTCTCAGTAACTTTAATAGTATCAATACCATAATTTAAATTACGTTATACTTAATATCTTTGTGATTACGAATTAAGAAAGCTTTGTGTTTTTGGAAAAACTCTTTCATTCAATAATTTTAGGTGAAATCGTTTGAAGGGAAGTGTTGTTCGCCAGTAATTGTTCCCATTATGAATAGCTTTAAGTATAATTTGTGTTTGCAGAGTACTCGTTTGAGTTTATTAGGGAAATTCGTCCCTCAAAAACGTTTACCTTATCAACAGTAATGGGTTCAAAATTCAATTCAATAAAATACTCATATGTGGTTATGTTAGAAGCTTTGTTTCTATTTAACTTCATTTTATCAATTGCTTTTAATCAATTAGTTTCAGATGTCGTAGAGATTCCTCATTTTGAGAGTGTAAATAAGGTTGTTTTTTTCTAACTCCTTTCAATGTTTGGGGCATAATCCCGATAAAAACTGGGTTGTTACGATCAGAGTGTAATGAATAAATAAAACGATATACGCAGACCACGATTTTTCTTAAAAATTCACCAAGGCAGTGAGCACTTCCGAAAGAACTCTTTATTAAACAAAATATAAGAGTTCTTTAGTGTTCAAATTTGTAAACATGTAATCTTTCATCGACATTAATTGTCTTCGTATGGCGGTCAATGTAGAATCATAGTGTTGAAGTGCTACTACTTCCAGGAGGCAAAAATATATTTAAGTGAATGCAAATTTACTATTAATTTGGAGTCTGTGAGTGACGTGAAACTCTCAGGAAAGACCAGAAAGAAAAAGAAAGAAAAAAAAAGAAAAGAAAGAAAGAAACAAAGAGAAAAATATACAATGAGAGCCTGAAGTAAAGGCAACAAACTAATGTGGGAAATAATCTTTGCACCAAACGCAATTTGAAACATGCGCCACTCTGCTATCAGCAGGTTGTTGGGGCTACGTCCAAGCATCTCTCGCTTTATCAACATTCAGAGTGCCTCCAAACAAAATACCCTTGCGAGTACTCTACAATAACCTACGTGTGATCATTAAGTGAAATTTACTCCTACGGTTGATAAGTGGGTTATAATTTACGAGTATTTCTTTTATATTAATTTTGTATAATTTCAAACATATCATGTAGCAATCTACATTAGCCTTTTTCAAACAACGGACATTTCATCTACAAATAGTAAATATAACAAGGCAACCCACGTCTCACAATTTATATTATAATATAAAATGCAAAACTCTATGGTCAAGATACTTCCTGAAACGACTACGTTTTGCCACATAAATGCTTCTTAGTAAGCCATTCAGCATATTTTTGTTCACTTCGCCCGATTTTCCGTCCCAGTATGGTAATTTCACGGTTTTAGAGTCCAAGAACGCCTTTGCGTGGGCCGTCCAGTGATTGCTTGCGGAGGGAACGCGACTTGCGTGTTCGCGTGGTCGATAGAAAGCCTAGATTTCCTATCGTAATCGTAGATGGCTTCGATTCCACAGGAACGCACACGCAGGCCGTAAAAACCCATTCGCAGGAAAAAACCTTCAAGACTATGTTTTGTTATTGCATGGCAGGCTCGAAAGAAAATTTATCCCAAGAAATAATACATTTTGATTACGTATGAAATCTTCGTAACCATGAATCTTATTTGACTTTTTATTCGTCTCTTTGAAGCGTAACCTTTAGAATTTTAAAACGTTGCCGTCCCTTCAGAATTCTCGGACGTAGAATGCTACAGCAGAGAACGATATCGAGTGAGGGCGTAATCTGATAAGGCTTTTTTTTGTTCCAAAAGGAAATAATAAAAAACGAAATTTGATGTTGAAGAGAAGAAAATGCTCGGAGAGAAAGTGAATTGGAGAAAGTCCGTCAAGAGGTGGTACATTTAAATACGAGGTAGAATAAAAGTGGCGTCATTACAGAATAGAAATGAAAAAACAGAATAAAAATGCCTATGAAAAGGAAAAAAGACAAATATACATGAGTAGAAGAAATATAATTTAGAAATAAACGGAAATTGTAGGGATGCAACTAAAGAGATTTTCTCATAAAAAAGGGTAGAAATAGGAAACGATTGGAAATATGAAGAAAATTATACTGATGACGTTAATAGATTGTAAGCAAGTCCACTCAAAGCTCAAAGACGTTTACAATCTAGAGGAGAATATGAGGGTAGAAAGTGTTATTTGAACTTCTGTAAGGTAAAAGAATTACAAAAAGGAAAGCTATTCCATTACCCAGAGGATGTCCACTGTCGAATCTCTCCAACAGGCATGTGTGGGACACGAACTGAGTACTTGAGGTAAGGCTTCCGGAGAGAATGGCCTACCTTCACCCATAAATATTCACAGAGCATGTCTGGGGAATGTTTGAGAAAAGGTGTAGGTCACGAAACCAACACCGGGAGTGGAGAGGGGTATCGTAATAAATAATGGTCGGGATGAGTACGTTGCTTTTTGTCTTTCTTTCCCCTCGAAATCCCACTAGAAACGGTTTCGAGGCATGGGTGAAGCTTTGGGCCCAGGGAATTTGGGGCGTGAAAAGGACGTGAGTTTGCACCTTCGCCCATCGACGTTCTCACCAGAACCATGGTTGGTTGCGTGTGAATGAATGATATGAGCGGAGTGTGCGCATCCTACCTTCGCCTCGCAAGCTCTCAGAGAGCGTCGTGAGTGTGAAGAGAGAATGAAGATGTAGTAGCGGCGTTGGTTGTTCTTACCTTCGCCCTCGAAGCTCTCAGACAACCGTGTGTGGTGAGCGGCGGAAAGTGGGTGTGGGTGGAGGGCGCGTCCTTACCTTCCGGGCCCTCGAAGCTCTCGTGCCAGGCACGTCGCGCACGGCGTCCTCAACTGCCTCGCGCTTGCTCGCCCAACGTCTCCCCGTCTGTCGGAGCGCAGCACACATCTCGCGTCAAGCCGCCACCGCAG